CTATTTATATAGGGCTCAACCCCGAGAATTAGGGTTTTCTCCACTCAGCGCCTACTCGCCGAGTCCATCTCATTGACTCGCCGAGTCGGCTATTTAACACGCGACCAAGTCGCGACTCTACTCGCCGAGTCCATCCATGGACTAGCCGAGTCACTCTTTCCCAAATTACACTTTTAGCCCTTCCACTCAACCCTTGCTATTTCGGGATGTTACAATTCTCCCCCACTTAAATTAGGCTTCGCCCCTGAAGCCTACAACAATGCAACTCCAAAGATGTTCCCATAACGCGCCATCTGGCCTTAACCGGACCAGATCCCACAAGGCATACCCTTTGAAACTCGAACACACTTTCCCTTCCCTTACGGTGTCCTGACCACCGTCTCTAACCTGGCACCGGCTGTATCCTCTGATAACCACACTCATTAACCGAGAATTACCCAAGATGCATTACTGCCCCAAATCTCAATAGTCACTCGACCCATAAGGGTTAGAAAACCATGAACCATCGGATCCCCGATCTGAATCCCACTCAATGCATTCCGAGACGATTGAGAGACCCATTCTCAATCTCAGAGCAACTCTCACGAGTTCTCCCTTTGCAATCGCATACACATGTTGGACTAGCTCTAACACCCTCAGGTTGGGAAAACCTGATAGACTGATAATATCCTCAAACATCCCCCAGGATAAACCACTAATACATACCCCATACCCTGATCAGAATCACACTGAGAGTCCAAGACTCTCGCCCTGCATCTCTTCCGAGCCTCTTGGCTCTACACTTGCGGAATTCCTTCCGTGGCCTCAGCAGACATCCCAAACCAGATGAGCTTCTATTCCACTGCCGCAAACCTGCTGCTCAACAACCATACTCGAATCACTCTAATCATAACTCTGCTCTGCCACTTTCACTTCCGTGAACTTGCACTCCCTCTTGGAGTTACACCTCACTCTCTCTTCCTTTACCAAGCAATCCACTCTGACAAGTGCCACGGTGCTCGCCCAACGCTACACCACCCTTTCATAGCGTATCCGCTATCCATCCAACACACATAGTCTGACTCTCATCGCAGGGACTCTCAAGCCCATGCACTATCTCAACTCACCAAGATCACTACCCGGGGCCAGACCTTCTAATGCAAACACACTGCGACATACCCAATCCATATCCTGAAACTGATCCAACAATACCTGTAGAGTCTTCAACATGACTGGACCGCTCAACAAGCATTCATCATTCCGAGCTATCGCCCCCGGAAATCCTCCCATGCATACCGTTCTAGCCCTCTAGGGGTGTTCCGAAGTCTAATTCCATCATACATACTCGATCCCAGCCTGCTCCCAGGCCTCCACAATCAAATGCCCTAGGTTGGTATCCCGCCCCGCATGCCCGACACTCGCTCCTATCAGCCTATACTTTGTGCTGATAGAACACTGCTGAATCCCAACAGCTAAGCACTCTAAAATACTCATCGATCTCCTAGAGAGTTCTCCAGCTCTCCCCCACTTATAGCACTGATTAACAACCACCGGTCGCCATCACCGACCTTCCAAAATAACCCTGCACAAAGAAAAGACTTACACGCTAACTGCTTCCCTTAAGCATAGACAACCTTAACGAGATCTCACATCAACACTGATTATCCTGATCGAAAGAACTCAAATTGTATCTAACCACTCTTCGGGAAGCCGATGCTACCCGACCTTCAACCCAATGTCGCATGTCCACTAATAACCCTCATGAATGATAACCAACGAAAGCACAAAACACTAACTATAACCATACCAAACCTTCAGGGAACAACGGATACCAAGACGAAAACCCGAAACACGAATCCATAACCATGCCAAACCCTCAAGGAACAACGGATACCAGGACGAAAACCCGAAACACAGATCCATAACCATGCCAAACCCTCAAGGAACAACGGATACCAAGACGAAAACCCGAAACACGAATCCATAACCATGCCAAACCCTCAAGGAACAACGAATACCAAGACGAAAACCCGAAACACAGATCCATAACCAAAACCTCAACCCGCAAAACGAAAAATACCGCATCGAAAACCACACAAAGATACCCGCACAACAATACATCATAATAATCGCAAGATAACATGACATCAAGAAAGAAACATACCCGCAGCTGCATCCGGCACTGCTCTGACCTCTTCTGCCGCAAGCTGATAGGCACGACCCTGATCCCTTGGGGACTCCGCTCCACCCTGACCTTCTCCTGAAATCCTCAAAGTGGCCGGTCCCGTGGAAAACTGTGGACAGTTGACCCTAATATGTCCAACCTAATGACAATGATAGCAAATCCTCAAATCTCGAACCGACGCTGACCGCCGACAATCCCTTGTATAGTGCCCCTCCTTTCCGCACTTGCAGCATGCACCACCGGACCTGCAACTCCGGTGTGACTCCTCCCACGCTTCCCACAAGTGTGGCTGTTCCGATCCCCCATCCTGGAATCAACGGTCTTAGACCGTTTCAT